AGATATAATATTAATTATAATAAAAATTGCAATAATAATAATAATAATTTTAGATATTATGAAAATTGTAATTGTAGAGACTACAGAAATTTTAACTTCAGATGTCATAACTGTGAATCCCATGATAAGAAAAATGTTCGCAATAAAAATTTTAATAAATCAAATAATGAGAATTATTATGAAAATAGTAAATTAGACAATAAATATGATAAAGAAACACATTATAATAAAAAAAATTATTATTGTAATTGTAAATCTCTTAGTAACAAAAAATTGAAAAATATTGAATTAGAACCAAATATTCAATATGAAAGAGATTCTTCTAAACTAATAGAGATAAATTATATGATAAAATTTGAAATATTCGTGATTATAGAAAATAAGAAAATAAACATTAAAGAAAACAATGAATCAAAGATAGAAAATAATAAAATTAAAAAAACTCTTATAAGTAACATTAAATGAGATAAAAATTGAAACTTATAAATTTGAAGGCAATTAAAAGTATCACTAAGAGAAGTCATATAAAAACTAAACGTCTTCATCCTAGAATAATACTCAAGGATGTGATGAAGAGTTCTTTTTCTAAAAATTTGAGGTTCAAAAAATTCTTTTTACTAAAAGCAATCTTATGAATAATAAATATTTCAAAATACTTTTTAAATTAAAAAATAAGGGCATTTAAATTTCTGAATAGAGAGATGGATGTACAAACATACATATCATCTTTTATTAAAAAAAATACATAATATAATATTGATTTTTTTAAAGAAAAAAAACGCGTAATTAAAAATAAATATAAAATGATATATTATAAAAAACGCGGAATTAAAAAATAAATGATATATTATGAAATCTATTTATTAAACGCAAAATTGAGAAACGTAAAACGCTATTATCTAAAACGCAAAATATATATAATATAAAATAAAAATAAAACGCGACCAATTATTTATTTTATTTCTATTCAATATTTGATAAATTTATTCTGTTCAATTATTCTAAATCAAATTCGTTATTCGTTAAATTAATTCTATTTCGTTTACTCGACAAATTTTATTCTATAACGACGTTTTCAATAATATCTACATTCTAAAATAATTCAAAATCTTCATATATATTTAATAACAAATAATGATAATAACAATTTTAAAAAAATTGATAATGATAACCACTGAGATATGAAGCTTACAATTTAAACAAGCCAACGATTGAGACGACATATGCAACAACTTGCCAAAAGGATAAATCATTTGGACGACAAGCTTGCTATGATAGCTCAGATGGATTATGGGAAGGCTTTTCGGAAGAAGGGGAATGTTGATCAAATTGTTTTTTTATAATACATATATATATATACCTTATTTTTAATTTGCTAAAAGTATTATCATTTAAAGGTAAAGAAGAATCGATGAGCATATTGTTGATGTAATTGTAGTAGAGGTTATATCTCTTGTTATTAAATATGCTAAATTTTTTAAATGTGTGGTTTGAGTATGAGAAGTCATGTTATATTAGAACATGAACCAAAATTTATAATGGGTGATGATATGAGTTAACATCGTTAGTATCATGGGAATGACTGCAAATTAACCAGCATCTATTATTAGTGGGCTATATAATTTAATATATTACTACAGCTGCTGAGAGCATTGCGTATTTTATAAGCAATTATGGTCAACTGTGTAGTCGTTTATATATCATTAAAAATTAAAGAAAATCTTTTATAAATTTAATATCTCACAATAATTTTCTCGATTACTTATCTAGCTTGCATCATCATATCATCTAAGAGGAAGCTCTAATCACCATATAGTTTTATGATTTGTATTGGCCGTTTATATTCTATTCTTCAAGAATTGTTGATTTGGTTAGGCCTATAAATTTTTCCTTATTAGTCTATTCTATAAAACATTGTTTAGAATGTTAACAGAGAGTTATATTAGTTTCACGACCTTTTGTCAATGTATGTTGCTAAGAATTATATTATATAATGTGGTTTTTAAAACCATTATCAATTGAGGCATATGTATGAATTAATTAACCTTTTTTATCACTTGTAATTCCTTAAACGCAAAATTACTTTTATATCAGCAATCGAAAATATTTTATACTGTAATAAATAGATTTTGTAATAAAAAATATTATTTTTTAGAAATGTCTTGTATTGTTTTAATTATTTATATGCTAGTTTATTTTGTTTGCAATATATAATAAATGACAAAATTTGAAATTCAGAATAATTATTCAGAGTTAACAATTTTAAAGCCCGTAAATTGAGGGGTATGAGAGGCGAAGTCCCTCCATAAATTTTTTTTAGTTGAGCCCCCTGAGATAGTAAATCTAGCGACGCCCCAGGATTTATTTTTATTTTACCTAGCCCTTCAAATTCTAGGAGCAAAACAAATGAAAGAAAAAGACTAAGGGGATGTGGTGATGCCTATATTAGTATTAAAGGTGATTTAAAAAGAGCAAGAATGGTTTCGGAATGATCATTCTAATAAATGTACATTTCAATGTCATAAAAAAGTTAATGCTGATCAGAATAAAATTATTCATTTAGATCTTTGGAGCTTAGCTAATGAAGCATAAGGATCTTTCTATAGCAAATTGATAGTTAGGATTCCATTTAAGAGAGGGGTAAAAAATAAAAAACTATTTTTACTTATATTTTTTAAAGTGAAGAATGTTAAAGTTAGAGTTTGCAGGTAATATTTCTTAACACTTGACATAATTAATAAACACATTAGTTATTTCTTTAAAAATTTATATCAAAATACTGGACAGAGGCAAAAAGGTTCTTCAAAGGAGTACTTTGAGGAGTCTTAAATATATAATTTATTTACTAAAAAATGTAATGAATTATTTCCTTTTAAAGATTATTATTACATGAATAATTTTAAAAAAAATTAAAATATAGTATTAATTTCGATGATTTGAAGTTATTAAAATTATAATAAAAAAATGTAGATGGAGAATCTTGGTCAGCAAAAAAAATCATAGAGTGTTATATTTGCTTCACTTGTTTTGACTTTATCAAATAAATTTTATATTTTAATTTTTTGAGCAAATATTTTTTAGACAATAATTAATTAACAATATGATAAATTATCGTGAATTTTTAATTAAATTGATCAATAAGTTTTTCAGTTTTTCCTATATTTGATTTAAACTTTAATGTTGATTTTTTCATTCTTGCAAAATGTGCACTTCAATTTATATAACTTGGACTTCATGTAATTCATTATTTCAATCTAATAAACAATTTATATTTGAAGTGATGGAGAAAGAAAAAATTTGAATATTTAATTTTGATGAATTTATTTGAACGAACGATTTTTATAAAATTATTTAGTAAGCAAATGTGTGTTATATAGGGGTTTAGAAAAAAAATTTGTCAAGTTGATATATTCTTTTTGTATTCTTTTAAAAAATTTGTTTTATAAATAAATTAGTTAGAATAATCAGGTTAACAAGTTGATATTTAAATCATATACAAATTATATCAATCATCCATATCGATAACAACATTATAATAGTACAGTCATAAAATTTCTCATCCTATTCCATAATCCCCAGAAATCATTCTCGAAATTTTCTTCATCTCCAAAACCATATGATCAGAATTAGTGAATATTATCTGTCAACCCCATGTTGGTAGCTAATCACTACACCCTCCCCCTTCCCTCCAAATCTTTTATCCAATCCAAAACATATGATCCGATGACATGTTTTCACTGTCTAGATCTGGAATCAAATTAATCTTGTTACTATTTTATTAAAATGATTATTATTCAAGAGGCTATTCGGTCACGAATGAAAATTGGATTCATTTCCATTATTTTACTATCACTTCCTTAAAATTTTATTTTACTCCCTGAAAAATTAGTTCCCCTAGTCAAAAAAGGGCTAACTTTCTTTATTACATAGAAGCGTAGACTTATTTTTAATAAAAGAGATTTGGTAACTAACGGTATCTCGGGGAAATTTTTCATCTTTTTTTATAAATTTATTTTTTATTTATTTTTATTTATTGTTGTTATTTTTAATTATAGCTTTTTTAAAAGGCCATAATTATAATATTATAATGGAATATCTTATTTTTACCGATATCATAAATTGTTATACAATTTTTGTTTTTCCTTAAAATTATATATATCTATATTATCATAGTTTATTGAAATAAAATGGTTAATTATCTAGAATTTGATTGAAAATTTTAAGAAAAAAAATTATATATATAACTATATTATCAGTGTTTATTCAAATAAATTGGTTATTTCTCTAGAATTTGATTGAAAATTTCAAGAAAAAATCTTAATTCTCTAGTATATTATGATTATATTTTTATCTTAAATATTTAGTATTTGATTCAAAATTTTAAATTAAATTGAAATTTTTTAGAATGAATCTTAAATAATTAAAAATTTCAAGAAAAAATCTTAATTATCTAGTATATTATGATTATATTTTTATCTTAAATATTTAGTATTTGATTCAAAATTTTAAATTAAATTGAAATTTTTTAGAATGAATCTTAAATAATTGAAAATTTCAAGAAAAAATCTTAATTCTCTAGTATATTATGATTATATAGTTTTAGAAAATTTAAATTTTAAGAAAAAAATCTTAAATATCTAGTATTTGAAAAATTTTAAATGAATCTTAAATAATTGAAAATTTTAAGAAAAAATCTTATAAAGAATCTTAAATAATTGAAAATTTCAAGAAAAAATCTTAATTCTCTAGTATATTATGAATTCTATTTTTTTATTTATTAATAAAAAAAATAAATAAAAATAAAAAAAATTAATAAAAAAAAATAATAAAAAAAATATTTAAAAAAAAACAATAAAAAAAATAATAATATCGAATATTTCCCCGAGATACCGTTAGTTACCAGAGATTTATAGGCACGCTGCATTTTTTAAAAATCGAATTAAATTATTTATTCAAAATATATATATATGTGTGGATCAGATAACCTTTAGCAATAAATTTGAAAACGCATTTTTCATAGTCATCATTTAATGATCATATGGAAACACATGAAGCGACAACGGATAGTTCATTGTCAAACTCAGGTTTAACAGATACAAGCACTAAGGAAGGGCTTGAAGATGACCTAGCGAAGGGGTTATTTCTTTTCCTACAGCCACCGTTAAAAGATATTTACATGCAGATGGAAGAAATAAAGTAATTGATCTTATAATATTTTTTAATCTATATTATTTAGAAATAGTCAAAATGATTTTACCTGTCAACTTGATAAAATTGATTTAGGTAATATGAATTTATATTTTTATACATATAATTCTTAGAAATAGAAAAAATTAAAATTAATTGTGATGATATTCCAGAATTAACTATATATATTCAAAAAATGCTAGATTCTAAGAAACGAATTACGAATATTAGGACAGTATTAAACAGCACATATGTACTATTTTTCAACACTATTATTTTTATGATGTTCTTTAGTTGTATAGTTTTTATTAAACTGTTTTAAATCATTGACATCTTTGAATGATAAATTTTTTATAAATGTTCAGACTAAAAATATATTTGATATGACTTAATACAATTCTTTTTAAATTTATAGACTAGATTACACAACCTTCATCAAAATATAATGAAAGAAGCCACCAAGAAGAAAGCTATTTTAGAACCCTAAATTATATATAATTAATAATATAAAACAAATCACATGATATTAACTTAAAAAATAAAATCAACACATTATTGTATTTATATTATTAAGCTTTGTTTAATATTGACTGATGATATTAAATATATATATTTTTTAAACTTGTTTTGATATTTCATGAACATATTGGGTCTAATAGTGCAATCTAATTGAATGTTTTTGAAAAAAAAATGCAGATGAGTTTGCATTTTTATTAGTTTTTATAAATTGTTACCAATTTGCACTATACCATTTGAAATGCATTGTTTTCAGATTGAAATGCTAAAGCTAAAATATGTTGCACTATAATAAATTTATTTATGCCAAATTTAGATTTCACATATTCTACATATTATATAAGAACTTTTTATATATCCCTTTCGGTTGCGGTAGTGCAAATATAAAACCACCTGTCAACCTTCATATTTAAAGTAGTTGATCATATAAAATGAAACTACCACAAACATATTTAAAAAAAATTTCATGCATTAATTAAAGATACGGCATCATATTAATTTTATGAGAAAACTTAGGGTAATCATATAATACAATTAAAATAACATATCATTCTATCTGAGAAAGCAATGTATAATATTTTAAAAAAAATAACTAGATGATTGTGTGCTATAATTATATAAATTCCTTAGTCTTCAATTCAAACGCATAAAAATTATTGGTGGTATTGAAGGGCATGGCCCTGTCCATTTCAGCCTGGCCTGGCTTATGTAACTTGTGTGTGAAGTTATATGATGTATGACAGGGAAACATGAGGGCCCCAGTATGGAACATGCAGAATAATGTTAATAATAATTTGGACCTGACATAAAATTTTAGTTCTGGATCAAGATTTTAAAAAAATAAATATCAATTATTGATAAATGTTGAAAAATCGTTATACTCATATTTTCCCTTTGAAACAATTTGCAAAATATCGAAATTTGAAAAATTTTGAGCCTGATTGCAAAATGACCAAGAAATAATCAAGAGCCAGGCTTGACTACTATTCATTATTTTTCAAATCAGGACAGACACGGAAATGAGAATAGTTTTGCTGGACCTGTAGGGTATTTGAGAAAATGCACAAAAAAAAACTTAGGAATGAATAAAACTAGGTTCTGTTGAAACCCCATCAAAGATTGGATAAAAGATGGACCTCAAGGAAGACCAGAGTTAGGCAGGTCTTCTGAAAAAAAGAATCTAGATACAGATTCTTTGTGAAAAAATGAATCTTATCAGATACTAATATCTTTTTCAAAATATCAAAAAGATACAATATAAAAGAAATTTGTATTTTTGCCTAATTAGAGTATCTTAAATAAAAGAGATACTTCAAAATTATCATTATCAATTAAATTAGAATAGTTTATAAAATACAGTTTTTATTATTTACTTGTAAAGAACATAACATACACATATAATAAGAATGAATTAGGGCTGTGCCGATCCACATATTTTTCACCGATCCTATCCGATATTGGTTCAAAACCGATCCGATATTTATACTGATTTTTACCACCCACCTTTGAACCAAAAATTAAAAAATCAATATTATTTATGCAAAAAATCGAATTATGCCTTTAATTTAATTTTTTTTATTTCTTCAATTAAGACTAAATTAAAAAAAAAATATAGAAAAATAGATAAAAAAAAATATTGCAGGGATACGAACCCGGCAAAATGTTTGCCCTGGTTCGGTTTAAGGCAAAAAAAATAGATGGGTTCTGGTTTGGTTCCCAGCTCGGGTTTAAGAATTTTTGAATTGATAAAAAAAAATTCTATATTTAAATCATAATAAAAAACTAGACGAAAATTTGGTATAAAAATTTATTTTTTATTTTATTTATAGGCAAAATATAGTTAAAAATACCAAGAAGTCATGTATCAATTTTGAAAGTATTATTTAGACAAATTTCTTTAAATTAACAATATCCTATATAATTTTTTACTTTGACTTGTTCACTTTTATTATACTCTAATTAATAATCTTTGAGAATTAGTTAAAAATTAAATAAATGGCGTAAATGAATTTAATTATTTAAAAATTATTAACATTTCAATAGGAATCTTTGAGAATAAATTTAAAATGGCCTAAATGAATTAAGTTGAATTTATTAACACTTCACTTAACTGAAAATTAAAAAATATTTATTGATGAGTTAATTATAATAATCAAGCATTTTAATATTAGTAATAGCTCATTCTTAGCTTAGATAGGGAAGGGAGACTAGTATTTTTAATGGGAGTTGAAATATAAATTTGGAAAAGAGTATTTAAAATAGATTCATTATTTTATAAGAAAATCAAAATTTTCAAATAATTTGGCCGTTTTGCTTAATATTGTGCTTTCAATTGGAGCTGATGAAGGTATTGCAGTATTATATTAATAAAAAATTTCCTTAACCAAAGGATAATAATTAAGCATTTATAATGTATTTCGACTTTCTTTAATATAATTTAAAACCTCCAGTTCAATGTTATTTGTATTATTTGTTTACTATAACCTTGGCATCTAATCGACGAATGAATGTCCCTACGATAATGGGTCTAAATACAACCAGCAGGTTTGGTAAATTTTAAATCTTCACTCAACTTATATCCACTTTACCTTCTCAACAGAGTTATATAAGATGTTTATACACTTTTTTCTAAAATTTATGTTCTAAGTATTAACCTGAATTTTTAACTTAAGTTATATCCTCCCCCATTCTAGCATGCTTATATTCAATGTAAAAGAAATGGAACATATTCTCAAAAAAATTTGTCGAAAATATTATATACTAGGAAAAATATTCTGAAATATTTCATAAAAAATAAAAAGTATGAAATTTAAAAAAATATGTTTGTAAGAATTTTTTTAAAAAAATTATCGCTATAAGATGAAAGCTTTATTTATCAATCTTAACATAAAAATTAACTAAATGATGGTTACAAATATTTTACTATAAGAAGAGCCAACATACCATGCACCCTTGAGACCTTAGGTCTCAATAATTCAGATGGTAAGATGCCAGTTAATTTTACGTGAAAGGGGTTTCCTTCAAGTTTGGGATTTGTGTAGATATATTCGTTCTAACACCAAAAACTTTCTTTCAATAGTTGAAATGAAAAAAACAACAAATATTGTTAAACAACATTATTCTTTCCTGCTGTCACATCAACTCTCAGAAATTCGGCCACAAGGCAATTTCCTTCATGAAGGAGATTTGAAAAAATTACCCATCTCATGGGCAATTCTAAAAAACTCTATTCGCCATAACATTGGTTTTTCAAATTTCTTAATTGACGCCTCCAATGTAGCCCATTGTACATTTTTTCTAATAGTATTTTATTAGTCTTTAGTCTTTTTTAAATTTGTAATTTACTTCTTTCTTTTTTTTATAGTTTTGTAACATATTTAATGCATATATGGTCGCCCGAAAATTAGATTATTTCATCTGCACTATTTGCAATTTTACAGGAGAGAAATTTTAAAATTTAAATTAGGATGGTTAACCTTTTATTGGCTTTAATTTGATTTATTTTATAAGTATTTCGAATTTTTTTCATCTAAAATAGAATTGTATAATTATATTTAAAAAAATTGATTTGTGTGAAAAGTCATTTATGAAATAATAATTCTCAAGTCACGATATATTGTTGTTATATTCAAATAAATTTAAAAAGAGACTTGATTAAGTACATTAAATATGACGTGAAGGAGGATCACTCATGAGTGGAGTGAATGCTTAGGAAATTGGAGCGACAAATTTCAAAAGAGGCCTATTTGATTATATATAGAAGCTCATCGCCGGAGATTCCAAAAGTACTAGTGGCGGTGGGTACATATGTAAAGGCTACTTTTGTTTAGATCAGAATATTTTTTCAAGGATTCGACGTGAACTAAGGACTTGGCGGAAATTATTGCTAGCAGAATAGTCGTAGAAGATATAGTCCAAGGCGAAAGAAAGGATACTGAACTCTCGATTTTAGGGAAATAAAAGTCTGCTGGTTTAAGGGTAGAAGGCGTATTGTCATTCTTGGAAACCTTTAAAACGATGTTATTAATCGGTTTGTGGCTAGGTAGACGTTCTCGGGTATATTTACATTGGAGGATCGTAACCCTTTATTGCCTCTGGTTTGGGTACAATCGACACAAGTGGCAGTACTGTGTTGCTACTAAGGCGCCCAATAGATATTCTGAGTTTCTGACAAGAAAATCAACCCAAGATGGGAGCTAGTGGTGGCCTAGAGACATTCATATCTGGTCTTAGCGCTGAATGTAATTGAGTTGCCATTAACCTTGAGTGGTATATCTAGACAATTGCCTTGCCTCTAACTTTCTCTCTTTCCTGATCAAGCTACAAACTTAAAAATAGATTCGAATAAAGTTTTCCCATACGTTGGCACCTTTCTAAATGCTGTGGGTTCTTTATCAGTTTGACTTAATTTTGTATTTTCTATTCCACAATTTGTAGAATATGTGCGAATATCTATTACCATAGAATATATCTTAATGTAAATTTTTATTTTTTAAAATGTATTCAAATCTTAATACCGTGATTTAATTAATTATTTTTGTAACATTATTACATATAGAAATCAATATACATTTTTATTATTTAAAATATATAAGGATTTTTTTTTTCCATTTCTCGTGACCGACTAAACGTCCAAGCATTTTATAAATGTTATTTTACCGAGAATATTCGTAAGTGACTTTTGTGTTGGTAAATCCTTGAAAAATAAATTGTTTAAAATAAAATTTATCTCCGATTATCTTTAGAGCTCTCAAATAAATCTCTTCGGGATCATGCTAGAATTATAATCTTTTTTTTAAAAAAAAATATATATAACCGTTAAATACCCTTTATTTGTTATTAAAGAATGAAAATAAATTAAATAAAATTTTTCCAAAATTAAAAAAAATTTTTTTTGAATAAATCCCTGTCTAAGATTATAAGTTTTTTCAACTTAAACCTTAAAAATTTGGTTTATCTTTAAAAATATTAAATTTGAGAAATAAAAAATATTTAATTTAATTTTTTTTTATCCCCCTTTGCCTGACTAATCCTAATGTAGAACGAAGAAACAAGACAGAAACCCTTTATATTTTAATATTATTTGGAAATAATTTAGATGTTCAAAAAAAAATAATAAAATAAAGTAAAAATATCTTCTATAAAAACAGAACAAATAATAATGATAATATTAAAAATATGTTTTTAATTAACTCTAAATTTTTGTATGATATTTTTTTTATAATTATTATATAATCATATTTTAGAAATATATTTGGCATATTACGTAAAATTGAATGTTATAAGTTTAAAAAAACGATGAATAAAAACACCCCTATTTTATCCTTTTCACAGTATTCTAAGGTGTTTCGTTATCCGTTCCATCCTTTTAAACTGATAACATGCTTTAGAAATATCCTACATTTTTAGGCACAATAAATTCCTACTATCGATTTTAATATGAAAATGGGTTTGAAACTCTAAAGAAATAGCAATTTTGATTGTCATTTAAAAACTGAGAAAAGTGGTTATCTATGGCTACAAAAAATCCCGACAAAATCCTAGCTAAACCCAGAAATCCATTGCCTAAAAAGCAAAATGTCAGCAAAAGTACAGATAGCTCCAGTAGTTCTGACAGTTCTGATAGCTCTACTAGTTCAAGTAGTAGCTCAAGTGACTCTGATATTGTCAGCAGTGATGAAAAGGCCCATTCGCCACCGTAAGATGAATTTTTCATTTCATTCATTTTAATATATCAATTTTAAAATATTCACATTGTTGGAAATGGGTGAGAAATGATTTTAAAAAAAATAATTTGCATATCCAGTCAATATTCGATTAGGCTCCTATACATATACACATATATATATATTGCCCCAATGTGCATAAGCAATCCTTCAGTAAATCTTTCAACTAGTTATTTTTATTTGATTTACGTTATTACTATTTGAAAAATCATAATATAAAGTTATTTCCAAAAATATATTAGAGATTAAGAACTGATATTTTAATCGCGAGGGTTAAAAGGGTGGCTGATTTCCCCTCTATCTTTTAACATTGCATTTTTTTCAAGCGCTTTTAAGTGTAAAAAAAGGTATGTGCTTAAGCGTAATATGGGAAGATAAGTAGTGGGAATTGAGTTACTCAATTAAACCTAAAATTTTTATACGTTATAGGCAACGGGCGGAAAAGTCAAAAAATTACAAAAATTGGGCGGGTTAACGGGTTGGTTAAAAATTTTATCAAAATAATGGGAAGGCCGTTATTTTATAGATTTTTAGGCGAAATGAACAGAACAATTATATTTAATTAAGAATTATTTTTTTAATATCATAGGTAAGTTTAAGCAAATTTGTAAACAGGTTAGACAAATTTTTTAGATGTGAGCGGTCGGGCGGGGATTTTTTTTAAAAAAAAGCATGGATGAATCATCTGGAATTTATTAAAACATTAAGTTGGCGGGTGTTCGGGTTAAAAAAAATCCGCTCATTGCAGATAGCTAACGTGATATGTTCTAATTAATAGTTCAGTCAATCCCCGTCATTTTAGTAATCTGATAGTTACAGTGTCCTTTTTCAAACATATCGTTTTCGATACTAATTAGGCGACTAGAAGACACTTATTAGTTTGAAAAAGGATACTCATTAAAAGATGCAAAATCATTTATTTAACGCGTTTTTTAAAATCTGTGAAAATATCATTTTGGGCTAAAAATAATCAGGCATGTGTAATGCCTATTCTATAGGTTTTAGAGAATTTATACTATATACGCATATTGCTTGATTACTTATAATAGTAGTAGATGGCAGGTATATATAATTTATGATAAAAATCTAACCAATCTAATTTTGTTGAATTCCTTAATAATATCATTCATTTTAAAAATATATTAATCATCATATCGAAAATCTTAATGAAACGTGATTATTCAATTTAACCAAAAATTAGAAAAATAAAGAAAATATACAAAAATACAAAAAATACGAGTGGTTCAACTCAGATTAAAGTTAAAAAATAATATGATTAATAAAAATAAGTTTAAATAAAATGATAAGAATAATATAAGATTAATAATAATAAAATGTTATTAAATCAATTGATATTACGTGAATTAGTTCGATTTTTAAACACGACCCTTTTTCAATTTCTTTAAATTTTAGCCTATTCCAATTAGGGGAAAATGGACATAAATTTATTCGAAAGGGCTTAACACAAAAATGTCACACAGATAGAGTCATGGTCATGCATTCAGGGTATATTACTAATTATCCAACACGATCTTTGGGTGTTATTTAAAAAGCGAAAATATCCATCATTGAATATTATATACTTCCAATTTATCTTTGGACATTAATTTATTATTCCGTCACACTTGTATTGCAATAACAACTCATGGCCGAATCGAAACAGATCGGTATTTAAATTTTCGACACAGAAATAGAATCTCAAGCTATAAATTATTTAGCGAAACCTGGACTAAATCCAGAAAATATTCTTGCAGAATATCTCATCCATCTTATAAAACAATTTATTAATATAATATTAGATTTGAGAAGTGTATAAATAAAGCTATAGGTGTAAAACTCATATTTTATATAATTGATTTAAATTTAAATTATATTTATTACATTTATTACATTTTTTTAAGTATCTTGAACATTCTTAGATCAATAAAAATTTATTTAAAAAAAAATTATTAACCCCTTCCTTCTATAATTTTATATTTGAATTTGTTAGTTTAAATAGGTTAATTATATTTCTTTTTAAAATATATTATAAATTTATTCTATGAAGCAGGCAATGACATTATTGTTACATTTTTTTTTGGTAAATAAATCTGGATGTATCATAAAAAAATTATTTTAAGTATTTTATTTTATAATTAAAATCGTTACAAATTGAATTATATAAACACTAATGGTGCAATTTAAGATTGTAGGGATGGAAGTGGAAGGGCTCTTTGGAAAAATATTAGGCTTGCTAGTTTTTTTCTCGCATTAGGACTATTTATTCGAATATCTGTAGCATATCTTACTAAAAGTTAGATTTGTAATTTGTAATTTGTAAATAATCAATATTATATGTATATTACAAGAGTAATGACATTTATAGTATGAGTCTGATGGCATCTGTGACTCCAAGGGTTTAGAGATATGTACAATATCAAGTGAAGCGAAGCAGGATAGTGACTCAATTCATTATAAGTTTTTCTGAAAGGTTAGAGTTAAGGTTAGGACCAGTACTGTTAAATGACTCGATTTGAGCCGATTTTTAAAAATGGCTAACTCAATATGTTAGCCAGAAAAATATTGGCTAAGCCTCGAGATTTCATTAATAGACGTTCAAAACTTCATGTCAGCTATGAGAAAAATCTTCAGACATGCGTAATATTTTTATATAAAATAATGAGTTAACGGTTTTAATATATCGGCTCAAATCGAGCTGTTTAACAATACTAGTCAGGGCTGAGGTTAATGTAAAAGAGTTTCCCGGAGCTAATGCTATTGTATATTTTAAGAAAGGTTTAATAGAATTTCCTAAACAATAACTCAAACTTTTAATGTCATTAGAGGCTAAGAACAAGGTTGTTTGAAAGTTATTACTAATTCATCATATTGAATTATAGTTTTGTTAATATATAATGTGTTGGGAAAGTTTTGGCTAACTTTTCCCTCGTTCGGTCCTTTTTAAAGTTATCTTTCAAATAATATTGGTTTTTTCATTTACATATATTTACTATTTGGTTTAAATTTTTTTTATAAATAATGTATAAGTTGTTATTAAAAAATTTGTTTATAGTGATCTAGTTTGGGATTGGGTGGAGTTTTGTGCCTCATTTGGATCATCTGAATTGGTGTTTTGACTTATAAAAATGATTTATTAACGGAAAGTGTTTTCAATAAGGTATTAGCATTGTTTCAACGAAAGGGGGATTAGTTATTTGAGTATAAGATACAAAATATTGTGCTAGTTAGGTTAGGATAAAGAGAGTCTCGAAGGAATTTAAGGAGGGTTTGAAATAGATGATTCTGATGTGATCATTGGCGTACGCAGCGGGGGGGGGCAAATCCCCCCCAAAAATGCAGATGCCGGATATATTTTTCAAAAATATTATTGTTTATATTAATTTATATTTGTTAATATTTATTCATATCTCATATTAAATATATTTTTAATTACATTTATTATCACATTTATCTACTAAGTTATTTTATCAATTAATTTCGATTTCAAGTTTTCCGGCGTAATATTTACTTATTATTTTCAAATTTTTAGTGGCATAATATTTATCTACCATTTTCAAATTTCTAGTCAAATTATTATTATTTCTGAAACTTCTTGTCTAACAGGGAAAAAGAAATTGCAACCTTGTCCAACGAGATAGAGTCTCTGCCATCAAGCAGTAACAGCTTTTAAGGAGTTAGAAGAGCCAATTATTTGCTATTACTGAAATATCACAATGGCCTGAAAGAAATATTTCCTCAGAAACAAGAAAATTATTAGATTCAATGCTTATTCCAAATTTTATTTCTTATTAGAATGTATTATTTAATTATACAACTATTTTAAGTATTACTTTTCAAAAACATGACATTGACTTGATTAAGAAGATAAGAATAGAGGAGAGCATTTTATCAGAACTCAAGGAGATTAGGGCTAATGTTGATGAAGAATTTCATATTTTATTGTTGAGTCAAAAGCAGACTATACGTGTTTAATATTTGTCTCCCTCGACTTGTAGCAAGGCAAGCTCATCGTTAAAACATTAATATAGGATCAGTAGAAGAGTATATCTTAAATACAGATACATTTATAACCCAAATAAATGAATTTTTAATTCATCATGCAGCACTTACTAATCTGCAAATATTACTTCCACAAAAGCCTTCCCAACCTTTTGCAGATGGTGATAGAAAAAAAATATTTGTTAGATTTTTATTATGAAGATGTTAAAGTATCTTATGATGCCTTACTAGCTGAATAACTATGTTTATAAGATTAACTATAGCTGATATAGTCCCAAAAAATGCTATGGATGCTCTGCATTATTTCAAACACATTTTAGATTAAATTCCCAATGTATTAAAAGGGTTTATAAACTCTTCCCGTTAGTAAACTAGTGAGAGAACTAAAAAAAAACTTAAAACTTTATTCGAATCTAAACTTACACACTAAAAAAAAATCTTAAACACAAACTAAGAAAAAAACGAAAACAAGTCAAACAAATTCCCGAAACTACAAAAATCACCAAACAGACAGGAAATATAACTCGCGAAGAATGATTTTCTTTATTAATAATTTAATTAAATCAAAATCAAATAAATTCGTCCTTTTTAATATATAAAAAAAATTAATTTCATAAAAATAATAATAATAATAATTATATAATACTTTTACATATATCTATATCATCTAATCTAGGTTGGATTGGCATTCCGCGTTAAAAAAAAATATAAAACATTTACGTATTTACAAATACGACATGCCACCCCTTTATGGGCTCGTGGCATGTCGGCATATATATATTTTTGTTAAAAAAATAATCGATATATAACGGTGTCGCATGATGAATCAAATTGCTATAACAAATTTATAAAATTTTATAAAGCCCTTCAATTTTATATAATTAATTCAATAATATCATGATTACCTTGAATATTTCAAAAAAATAGCTAATTTCAATGTGAATGATCCATTGTGATAGTGGATATAACTATG